GAAAGATTTGTTAGTATTGCACTTTGAAACGGCTAGCACCAGCCCCATAGAATACAAAATATTAGTGCCTTGAGCTGGATTTTTCTCCCTTTTGTATAATGGCACTTACTGGGTTGCACTGACCTCTCTCCCCCCCTCCCCCCCAACCTTTGGCTTTCATGTGACTCCATTAAAAACCTCACATAATCACACATAGGTAGAAGAGCTCAAAAGATACTGTAGTGTGGAGCATAACTCAACAGAACGGTTGTCTTCTGGACCATCCATCAGCTCTCCCTTTTGCAGAGCATATACCATCTCTTGTCCCTTGTGGGATTACCCAGACCACCTCTCCTTTGATATGTGCTCTAAGAACATTCCAGTGATCACAACAGCTTACATGGAAAACAGATATTAGGAAATTAATGTATTTTAGCTTCTTGTAATGTGATTTAGCAGACAGAAAACGGGGGGAACTGGTGGTATGTGACCAGCCAAATTTCTGTGGACCACAGTTTGGGAACATGTGATGTCAAAATAAATTTCTATCAAATTGCCAATTTTAGCATTTATCAATAGACTCTGTCTTGTAGATAGTTTCAGTTCCATATAAATTACATTTAGGCAATCCTTTAAGCTAAAGCAGAAGGAGAGGGATATAAATAACAATGACAAACATCCCTCCTCTGGCTTGGTCACTTGAAATGAAACAAATAAAAAAAACATAATCAATTTAAATGGAGAAAAATGAACTGAGTCTAGTTACAAAGCCAATAAGTAAAATTTTTCACTTATTCCTCTGTGGCATTAATTTCCATTTGGTTGTATGTATTACTTGTTACAGATTTCAACTAACATTGCATAGCTCCCTGGGTGCTGACCCAGAGGATCACACGCAAACATCTTTGGTTCTGTATAGCTGTTTAAAGTGGCAGCAGTTTTTATAGTCCTTTTGCTAAGATAGTGCTTAGTCCAGCCATGAGTGCAGAGGCCTGGTGACCTCAAAGGTACCTTTCCATCCTATAATTTGATGATTTCATCTGAAAACCTGTGATGAACAATATCCAAGTGAATCGTAACTGCTAATATGTTCATAACTAATTAGTGGACTCGCAAAGAGGATTTTTATAGTGCCAGTGAATGGAAAGCTCTCCTGGCTAGTTTGGGGCGCTTAGGCTCAGCTAGAAATGGGGCAGAGTGGACCACACCACTTCAGGAGAGAGATTGTGGCTCAGTGTGCGTGGTTTCTCCCAGAGCCCCAGGGAGCATAATAGGTCAAACCTTCTCCACTGTCTGTTGCTACCTGCCCTTATCTCTCTAGTAGGTCCTTCCATTGCCCACTTTGGCAAGGGACAGTCTGGCCCGTTAGGCCGTAAAAGTTACATTTGTCTTCCCCTGTAATTATCTAGTGGCCTTTTTGTGCTTTCACATATTACATCAGGTTGAGATGTGCCCCATGCTACTGGAAAATGTGTAGATCACTGAATTTAAAGAGACTAGCTAGGGTTAATTTCAAGAATGCCTTTGTACTTCTTGATTCATTGTAAAACAATGAGTGTTTCAGGAAGACTAATAATATTAGATGATAGTCATATCATGTTATTTCCCCAGCTATGTTTCTGATAGGTATGTCCACTGCACTATCTGTAATTAGTTTTCAGGTGGGAACACCTTAAGTTGAAGGATCAGAATTGCTGTATTTTAAGTCAAGTGCTAATTGTCTGTAGCACATAGCAGCTGGATGCGCACGCCTCATTAGCCATGGTGCCACAAGAAGATAAATTCAAGAGAGATTGGGATCAATCAGGGCATTTCAAGGCTCTTAATGAGTGGCCGTTGCTTAGGCTTTTTCAATTTCACTGGGTTAAAAATTGTCATGGGGGAAATAAAAATAATAAGCATTGCATCTAAAAACTCTACCTTGGAACCGTATTTGTCCACCGTTCAGAATGGGGCGGGGAGGCGGAAATCACAATATAAATTCTGTTTCTAGAACAATGAAGTAAAAAAGTTTCAGAGAGGTAGCTGAGTTAGTCTGTACAGGATAAACTTAAAAAACAACAAATAGTCTGGTAGCACTTTGTTTTGTTAGTCTTTAAAGTGCTACCAGACTATTTGTTGTGTTTTAAGTTTATAATGAAGGAAAAGTTCTTTTTAAAATAGCACGTTAATTAAAAGCTTCGCTGATACTGGGACTTAACCTAAGTTTTGAGAATAATAAATGCCAAACAAATGTTGTTGGAATCCAGCTGTGGCGTGAGTCTCATGGAATGTATGTCGAATTTCTGTTTGCATGGGACGTGTACTGTAGTTATACCATATCTGAAGGGAATTCTTCCCAGATGCCTAAATCTTCATTTCATTCTTTTTCATTTGGTTAGCATAATCCAGGTGCGCGCGCTCTCTCTCTCTCACACACACACTATATTAAACTCTGCCTTTGTATGATCCCTGCCTCTTCATCTGCAGTCATTTCCAATATCTTGCTGAAGTCAGTGCAGTCCCTGTAACTTCCGAAGAAAGCACGTGCTTGAGAGCCTCTCTGTGGCTCTGAATCCGTTCTCTTACCAGGGCAAGTCTACTCCACAGTCAACCTAAGTTGCATCGACTTACGGCCACCACAGTAATGGAATTGATTTTACATGTCCACAGTATAATCCCACCAGGAGCTCTTGCACCAATATAACTGCCAGTGTCAGACATTGTGAGAGTGCTTATGAAAGTCAGCAGTAGTCAAGAGTGCCTACACTGACACTGCGTCGACCTAATTACGTTGACTTAAGTGCTGTGCTTCAAGTGGTGGTGGCATTCGTAAGTTGGAGTGGTGGGTGACTGACATCGTCAGGAGCAACATTCCAGAGATAGATCCGTGTACACTGCCTTGCGTTGATCTAACTCTGAAGTGTAGATTGGGTCTTAGTGTGGAATAGTCAATGAATGTTGTCCTTAATTACCTCTATTATTTGGTTTGTGGTGTCTGCTGGAGATATCAATTTACGTGTCCTAGCTAAACATCCACTCAGCGTGCTGTGGCAGTCACAAAAAAGTGAATGGAATGTTGGGAATCGTTTAAAAAGGGAAAGAGCCGCTATATAAATCCATGGTATTTCCACGTCTTGATTATTGCAGCAGATGCGGTCACTCATCCCCAAAAAGATACACTGGAATTAGAAAAGGTTCAGAAAAGGGCAAAAAAAATGAACAGTTTGCATAGGAGAAGAGATGAATAAGACTGGTACTTTTCAGCATGGAAAATACATGAGTGAGGGGGGATATGATAGAGGGCTAGAAAATCATGACTGGTATGGAGAAAGAAAATAAGGAAGTGTTACTTACTACTTCTCAACACTAGAACTAGGAGTCGTCCAATGAAATTAGTAGGCAGCAGGTTTAAAACAAATGAAAGGAAGTATTTCTTCACACAATGCACAGTTGTTTCTTACCAGAAGATATTGTGAAGGCCAGACCATACCACGGTTCATGGATGGTGGGTGAATGTAGAGCTGGGGGCAACAAGCCCCCAGCCCTCCCCTTCTACCGAGGCTCTGCCCCCCATGGGAGCCGAGACTCTGCCCCCCTCCTTTCCCAGCTTCTGCCATCGCAGGGGTAAGCTTCCAGCCTAGCTCTGGAGCAGGGGGAGGGCAGGCAGCGCATGGCCCCCCCATCCTCCCTGGTCTCGGAGCACAGGGAGGGAAGGTGATATCTCCTAATACACAATTATTCCTCATCTCCTGGGCTGAAAAATATTACATATGGTGCAGTCTCTGCTCTGTTAACAAAGGCTCAGAAACCACAAGTCTCCAAACAGTCAGTTGTGTGTTTCTGGCTTATTTTTTGGTTCTTTTCTTTTCCCCTGTTTCAGAGGGAGGTCAGGCTATGAAAGTTGCAGTATAATTCTGAAAAAGATTTTTAAAAAAGAACAACTTGTTATTACAATTCTGCAACTGATGGAGGTAAAGGAGGGTTTTGCATAGAGCCAGATCCTGCTGTGACTAATACCTCAGAGGGAAACAGAGAACCAATTGTATCGTCTTCTGGCACAGGCATCCTCACTCTCAGGGTGCTGCTCTGTGAGGTGCTTGCTGCTGCTCTTTCTGGCAGGGCCAACGTGCACACCCCCCATTTGCTGGCAAGCACTGGGGTCTAGTGACAGCATTTTGAGACCTGTGCAGGCTTTTGAGCTTGCTGGCTGTGTTCCCTTGGGGGTATGCCGCACAGGAGCTGAACCCACACAATTTGACTGATGTAATGTTCTTCCGAACAGGATTGATCAGCTGGGTGTGGGACAGTTTGGCACGGACTTCTGAAAATGGTGCAAAAGAGTTTGTTTGTAGTGTTAATGATGCATATCTCTCAAAGTTCCTCATACAGTAATGATTTAGGGGGAAATTTTCAAAGGTGAAAGGCTCCTAAGTCACCTAGGAGTACAGTCAGTCCTCGAGTATATTCTGAAAATATTACCCTTAATTGCCAGCAGCATTTTGAGGCTAACAGCGCATCCATTTTGCACTAATGCAGTGGCTCAGAGGCAGTATTAGAGCCTGTTTTATTAACAGAAGAAATATTGGCTTTGACATTGAGGTTATCCCACTAATAATTTTGAAAAGCTGCCTGGGAGTTTTGCCTTCACCTGAACAGCTGTCAGATCTTGCTTGGAGATCACCTCTGGCAATGTACTTAGCCTCCTTCCAGTGTTGCATTGCAGTCATAAAACTGGCCAGGGACTCCACATTTGGCTGTGGTGCTAGAATAATTGATTTTTCTGAACTAGAAGTGACAGGGCTCTGAGCTGAGTTACGCTGAGGTTGTGATGTAACGAGGTGTTCTTAGGAGTTCACCGCCTGTGTTCAGTGTGTGCTGAGTCTATGAAGAACAGAAGATTTGGTAGAATTCTGGCTGCTGTTGAGTGTGGTGCCATGTGCTAGCTGCCTAATTAATGTATTACATTGCACTGACTGGTTAGTTGGTTACATATTTTTTTATTCCTAGAGCCTCTAAAACCAGGTCTCTTTGTTTTTCAGGACGGTGAAGGTCAGACAGCACTGCATTATGGTAAGCTGGTTTTTGTTTGCCTATTACCTGCCTGGGTTTTCTGTTTGACTAAACAGTACAATGTGTAAAGCAAATTTCAGCAGAAGCAGGGAGCTGTCCAGGAACCGGAGCTGGATTAACCAGGCCAACTAACTTCAACAGCAAATCCCAGTCGGAAGTGTGGGAAAGTGGTGTACAGCTGTTTCACCAAGTGACCTTTGGAATCTCATCAAGCTAATCTGCTGATGTTGGCTTGGTAGCAACACTGTGAGCTATGTTGAGGGAGGCTCCATCCTTTCTCACCTTTACTGTCATCTAACATCTGTCTGGACCCCACCTTCACCTCCCAGTTCATCCCCACCTTCGCCTTCCGTCTCCGCTCGTGTCTCCCTCATTCCACTCTGCATGGTTAACAGGGCTTTCTTCACTTGGGCTCCTCCATCTGGCTGTGGTTGGGGCACTTGTCCTACACTCCACTTGCTGACTCAGTTCCCTTCCTTGAATCTCGCCGCAAAACCTTCCTTTTCCCTTTGGTGAGTGGCTCCCTTTCTGTAGAAAGCCTTTTGTGGTCCTGTTCTGGATGCAGGAGACCTACAGTGAACCCAGGAGTGCCCGCAGTTGCAGGAAGTATGGCTGTTGGACTCGTTAGTGGTGACAAGTTGGGGGAATTGTACCAAAGAGCACCAGCTTTCTGACCCTTGACAAGCCTTGTGGGAAAAAAATCACAGACACAGTACAGTGAATTTTCCTGCCAGAAAAGATTGCTGTGGCTTGACCGGACAAGGAACAAGGTATAAACCTGGCTTACAATGGCAGCAGCAGTCTCAGAGATTCTCTGCGTCATGAAACACGGAGCATCTCTTCTTGAAGCTCTGGCACATGTCGCTCCTGCAGCCAAATAGTAATTAGATTTGACGTGTAAAAACCTGACTTGAAGTTTTAAAAAACTTCTTTTTGTGTCATCTTTTTCGTGACAATTGTGATCTACAAAGTTGAAAAGCAGAGACTTAACATCACACACGCATGGTGCTGATGTGGAGCGAATGAAGCAAAAAGCTTGATAAATCAGAATATTTTCCTAAAATAATGTATCATTTTATACTCCCTCTAAAATATGCACTAGTCATGGTGTAATTAGTGCCACCTGTTGTTCTGATAGTATGTGAGCCTGGCCACAGACTGAAGCAAAGGGTGCACATTGTATTATAGTTAGAATGTTGTTTGTTTTCAGAGGTTTTGATCAAATTGACTGGTGGTAGAATTAACAGAGGTCAACTTAAAATCTGGTCATTTTTAAAAACGGAGGTACAGAAGGGTAGACTACTACGTGCCTGTGTCATCCTCCCATGTTAGTGGGGCTTTACTCACATTTTCCCATTGTTTTTAAAAATGTAATTTTGGTGTCTCATATGCAGTGTTGTTGTATCCAGGGTATTGGAGAGCCAGGGAGGGAGAGGTAATAGAAAGATATTACCTCACTCACCTTGTCTCCTTTGGTCTTTTGTTCCTTTGTCATAGAAACATGCGCGCACACACGAGAAACTTGCTGACTGGTAAGGGGAAACCATAAAAATGACTATGCACAAAGTGCCATGGAGTGAATAGAGTCACTGGGGGGGCAGGGACGGGAATTATTTTGTCTACTTATATAAGTTACAGTCACAATGGCAGGTAACAATTTGGACAGCCACGTGGTCAAGGGAGTAATGTCCCTGAGAGTAAAAACACTCCCAAGAAAATCCTTTTTTTTTTTAAACCTGCATAGATTGAATAAAAAATTCCTGTAAGAGTGAAAAATATTTTACCTTTAGTTGCTTTTTGATACAATGTTTATTCCTCCCTCTTCCTTCCCATCCATTTGGATTTTACTCACTCATTCTCCTTCACTGTAATCCGTAAGAACGCTTTCTTGGGTCTTTACTGCTCAGGTCCGTTCTACGTCGTTCCCTCCCTGTTCTCCCTGCGTAAATGTGTCTGAATCCAATCTATAAAATGTTTCTTCTCTCTTTTCCCTCTCCCCATTGTCTAGCACTAGTAATATGTTACGTGAAGCCTGAAAAGATCTAGTTAATTTAAAATATTGTTGCGACTCAAGTGATTATTAGTTGGAACTAGAATTTATTGAAAATCCTCAAGTACAGTTGTTACTGGTGCTGCATAATGGGGTTATTAATTTCAGCAGACACACTCAGTATCTGGAGTAAAATGTCTTCTTTTGGCTTTGACTTCAGCATCTTCTTTTGTTACAGCATTACAGTAAACCGAGAAGTGGTTAAATCCCAGGCATGAGGACAGCGCGACAGGCTGTTTTGGGGGGTTTATTCAACCTCCTTTATGAGTTACTTTCTTCTGACAGCTGTCCTTGTGGTGACAGCTCTCCTGATTACAGCAGGTGTCAAACTCTGTCCTAGATGGGTTATAAATCCTGGCTCGTTCCGATTGGCTCTGACCCTGAGTTTAATCGGAGGTTAAGTGGAGGCAACACTTCTGTATGTCCCTCCCAAACAGGCTGCGTGTTACCAGATCCACCTGCCTTTGCTCCCCTGAAGGATTCACTGGCTTCTGGGCACTTGATGTTTGTGGTTACATGCAGTGCTTATTGCAGAGTTGTTTGATATGAGTGTGGTCTCCCTTGTAAATGCCCAGTTAGTCTCCTGCTCACCATACTCCCCTCCTTCCATCCTCAGGGAATACTAAAATCATTGCCTCTGTGCCTCCCAGAGGAAATCAAGGCTTCTCCTTGCTGGTGCCGTCACGTGCTTTCAGAGTGGGCAGGCTCTGTATCCCCATGGGCTCTCTGTCTTCCTTGTGAAGCACCATCTGTTCTGCTTGTTCTGGGCTGTGGGAGGGGACGGTAGAGGGAAAATAAAAAAAAAATGAAATTCATCATCAAAACCCTGAGGATTAATGGAGTCGGCAGGCGAACTGCGCTGAATGAAAATTCATCTTCACCTGTGCCCGTGTCAGGGCCGCCTCTCTGGCACTTGACAAATAGAGGTTCCCAGGGCGCCATAAATTCAGCAGCTGTTCTGATCTCCGGGGACTTGTTTGTGCTTTTCTGAGATGGGCCGATGACCACTCGGATTTCCCCGAATAGCACCAACACATTGGCTCATCTCGGGTTTGGTCCTGAGAGGTGCTGAGTACTTGGCTGAGCAGTCAGTTAGGGATGGGAGTACATATTAGGGTACTTAGCACCTCTCAGAAGCAGACCCATAGCTGGTGCAAAGCTAGCCCTTTTTCTTTGCAGTGTGCGTGTGGAATGGTCTATGCTAGGATCCCCTATTGGTATAACTACACCTCTCAGGAGTGTAAAATATCAACGCCCATAGGAGATATTTCTATAGCTACCTAAGCCCTGGTGTAGAATTTGTCCACTGACCTAGCTTACCACCTCTCTGGGAAGCAGGTGAAGTCATGTAGGCAGTGCAGCAGTGCCACTGTAGCACGTTAAGTGTAGAGGTAGTCAGTTTGGTAGAAATCGGTCACTTCTGGAAGCACTTCCCTGTAGGTGCAGGTTCTGAGGTGTATTCGTACCAGCTGCGCAGGGTCTCATAGACTAGCCTTCGTGGGAAAAGGTGCTGCATGGCTTGCTCAGCTCTCGCGAAATGTCCCTCTCGTAATATTGTTGGATATTTGCTCTCCCGTGCGCTGCTTCCTTTAGCATGTCTGTCTCTTGCTTTACACAGCCTGCTGCTTTGCCATCAGTCCCTTCTCTCCATGGTGTAATGTAAGCTCCAGTCACACCTCGAGTTTGCTTTGATTAAACTTTGCTGCTTGTCCCTTTGGATCTGCCAGAAGCTGCTGTGTAATGTAAAAGACACTCTCGTTACTGCAGCTGATGACATAGAGGAGTAAACTGCTGCATTTGTTAAAGGGCCTGCGATCTCATTAAAAGCAGCAATTAACAGACAGGAGACTGCCCTCCTGACAGTCTCAAGGTAGATCAGCACTGAGACACTTTAGGTCTCACAGGAAATCTGTGCTACAGAGTTATTGTAGGTAAAACCCATGAGCCAGAGCTCCAGCCAGTGGAGACAGGCACAGCTCTTTTCCCCGTATTGAAAAAAGACCATTTTTATCAGTCTGTGTTAAATTGGATAGGGACAAGAAGCAGCAATTTGACCAGCAGTGAGTCCGGAGGGCTGGGAATCTGGTTGAAAAAAAATTTGGTGGTCCCTGGCTGGTGGTTTGCATATGACAGTCATGCTTCCTGAGCCCCTCTTGGTGCTGGAAAGGAACGGGCGCCAAGCCGCAGGTACTCCGGAGCTTTGGAATCTAATTTCTTTTTCCCTGGAGAGTGTGAAGTGAATGGGAGTTCATGGGCAGAGGCGGGGAAGCAAGGGAGGGGTAACAATCTGTGGGATAGACGTGGTTCCGAAGTAGGGGGTGTAATAGACTAGTTGACTATCCGATAAGCAAAAGCTTTTCGGATAGTCAAGTAGTTGCTTTTCCCTGCCCCCGCCACCCTCCCCTACCTCTATAAGAGGCAGCAATGGGAGGAAGCAGGAGCTGGTTCTGGGGGGAGCTAGCTTAAAAGCCGTTTCCCCCCCAGCACCATCTCCACAGGGCAGGAGGCGACGTAGCTTATTCCCGGCTTAGCTTATCAGTTTATTCCCAGCTCGTGCCCAGTCCCAGAAGCTGCTCCTCTGCTTGTTGGCTCTTAATACGTTTAAAAATCAAAAGCGCAGCAGGGGAGACCCGGCGTGAGTCAGGACAGGTGATTCCCGGCTCGCACTGGGTCCCACCTGCTGCGCTCCGGCCGGGAATCAGCTGTCCCGTCTCGCACTGGGTCCCCTCTCTACCCTGCTGCAGAGCCTGCCAGCTCTTAATTCATTTAAGACTAGTCGGTGGAAAATCCATTGACTAGTCGATTAGTTGATTAAACCTACATTTAACATCCCTCCTCCTAAGAAGTCCTGCCTCCACTCTAGGATGGGCCAAGGGACATGTGAAATGCAGCAGTGATTTCTAAAGGTCCTGCCTTGTTCAGTGATCTAGCACAAGCTTTCCTGAAGCAACACTCCATAGGAATCCTGGAGCTCTTGGTCCAAAATATATCTAGTAGTAGTCAATCCAAATCCACGTAAGTGGTGCTGAATACTCCCCAAAGCGGCATTTACCTGGCCTTGCCAACAGCCAAAATAGCCTTTCCTTGCACTAACCAGTACACGCTTGAGCTCTAGCGCTAGCCTGGCGGCGGCTGGCACTAACCACTGCAGCTGTTGAATGCCCGGCACTGCTGAACTGTAGCACCCGATTAACTGTGCTCTTTGTCTCCAGCCTCTGCCTGTGAGTTTTTCGACATTGTGGAGCTGCTGCTGAAATCAGGAGCTGACCCCACCCTCTTGGACCAAGAAGGCTGCCTGGCTGAAGAGGTGACAGACTGTAAAGCAATCACTTCCATGCTGCAGCAGCACACAGCTGGCAAAGCCTAAGGAGCAGGAGCTGCACCAGCACAAGGCTTCAGGAATGGACAGAAATGGCAATAAACCCCTCCCTTCTCTCCCCTACAGCCCTCTTGAATATGCATCGGGATTTGAGTCGGGAATGATTTTTGGGTGGGCTGGGAGCCTGGCACCTCTACCAGCATACGGAGCTAGGGGAAGGAGCATACACTGTGCATAACAGGATCCATCGTTGCATGCTGTGGAATGTATTACTGCTCTGGGAGGGGGAAGGACTCGGACAACACTTGGCTATGTTTAGATGCGGCTGCTCTTTTGAAAAATATACGCGATCGGTGAGAGGTGAACCAATCGGCCCTGAAGAGTCAGATGCGACCAAAGGAGATTTGTGGAAATCAGGGGTTCCACTGAGGGAAGCTGAGCTGTATTTCTCTGGGCCCAGACAAATACTATCAATAAAAGAGCAAGCACAAGGTCACGTGTTGTCCCTTTCTGGGTGTTAGCATAATGCATCTGAGTCCCGTGACGGTTTTGGAGGGCACCAGCACACTCGGCTCAGAGGCGCATCCCACAAAGGGTTCTTCACCACAAAAATGACAGAAATAAAGACTGAGCCAGTGCAGGCTCCAAACCAGTTCCAGGGGAGGTGACGGGGTTGTTAGTGTGTGTCGCTCCATATTCCAGATAGGACGTACATTCGTGATCATAAATGAGGCAAGAGCGGAGAGAGAGCTGTATCTTGCCCTATCCCGAGTGAGACCAGGAATAATTTTTTTTAACATTCATGGACCTGCCTAGTAAAGGGCAAATATGGCAGAGAAACGTTGTCATCAGTGAGTTAGTTTTATCTCCAGCACCTTGTCATATGGATGTAGTTCTCTGACAGTAGAAATACGGTTTGGTCTTGCAGTACAATTAGGGCTGAACCATGTTTTATTCCCCATAGGGCAGGTGTAGATGCTAGTGAAATGTAAGAACCACCTAGAATCTTTCAGTACCTAGCTGGCCTCGGAAAGAGGGTCCGTTAGGAATAGCTTGTGTTTTGGAGGGGATTGTGGAAGTGCAGAAAATATGTATATGACTGCAACTTACTTCCCTGTGAATCGGAGGGGTCCCTACTCTGTTTACTATGTCCCCCCATGGTGCTATGGCCAAAGTCTACAGAGATAGTGCTGTTTAGGGACAGTTCAAGTATGGGTCAGACCTTTCTATGCTGTCAGAGAATTACTGCACTAAGCGGCACTATTAGCAGTGTCTCAATCCAGTAGGCTGTACAGTGTGGCTGGAGCTTCACTGCACTGTCATGAGAGGAATGTGAATCTCTTGGACGCTGTCTCCTTCCCACAATGTGTCCTGAGACCCACTGAGTAAGGACGAGCTAGAAACAAAAGGTTTGCGATTTTGGTCCATTGATTATAACTTGAATATGGTACCAGACCCTTGTTAAACCTGCTAAGATTTGCTGCTCTTTGTTGTGCGTGAGAAAATATCTCCCTTCATAGCAGCCAATTACTGGCCCATGCTCTGCAGTTGCTGAGGATGCTGTGTATATGCATGACAATGGAGCACTGTACAGCCTCCAGGAGAAAAAGCCAGCTCTGTGCAGTGCAGATGGGGGATGTGCCCCTTGATGTACCATGTGACTTTCTTGTTTGTAACCGAGTATTTCCAGAGCCTGTAGTGAATGAGAGCAGCTGGGTACTCAACGCTTTTTAGAATCAACCAGTTTGTTGAAATAGTAGCACTCAAAGGAACTTCAAGAAGTCGTCTTGGCCAGTCCGCAGCACTGTTGGCAGAACTAAGTATTATCTAGACCAGTGGTCCCCAATGCGGTGCCCAAGGGGCACCCGCCAGGGCATTTCTGTGTGCCCACCAAGTGATGAGGGCTGGCCCAAGCCATTCTTGCACCCCGGGCCCTAGGCGCACGGTGCATGAGCGGCCCCACCCCCAGATGCGCGGCGCATGAGTGGCCCCGCCTCTGGGTGCCCAGCAGCCCCAAAAGGTTGGGGACCACTGATCTAGACTAGGGATGTAAGAGTTTAACCGGGTAACTGATAAGATGATGCTAATCAGTTCCTATTACCATTTAGATTCTGCTAGGGAGCCTGCAAAGGCTGTTTAACCATGTAACCAATGGAATTTCCTTCTGCTACATGCAGTGTTCCCTCCAAACTGCACAGCTTCACAGGTGATTAATCACCCCTGCCCTGAGCCCCCTGACAGGGTTGATTAAGCTGCGTGGCAGCTTCACAGGTGATTAGAGGGAACACGGGTTCCATGGTTAATCGTTTAAAACATTTTTTACAATCCTAACCTAGACCATCCGTGGTAGGTGTGTGTCTAACATGCTCTTAGAAATTTCCAGTAATGGAGATTCCACAGCCTCCCTAGACAACTCATTCCAGTGCTTAATTGCCTGACAAGAGGTTTTTCCTAATATGCAGCCTAACATGCATTTGCTCCAATTTCAACCCATTAACTTTTTACCCTGTCCTTGGAGGATAAGGAGAATACAATTTCCTTCCTTTTATGTTCTCGAAAACTGTTGCCATCTCTTCTCCCCCTCCCCCCCCCCCCCCCCCCCGTTTTTTTTTTTTTTTTTTTAACTTGCAGGGGCTACCAACAAAAACACATGAACATAGCCACTATTTTATTTGACAAATTAGGGTTGTGACCTCTAAAAATTAAAAGACTACTTTGTCCACATATTTCCTAAAATGTGGCACCCAGAACTGTACTCCACTTGAGGCCTAATCAGCGCTGAGTAGACTGGAAGAATTACTTCACGAGTCTTTCTTACGCCGCTCTTGCTAATGCATCCATGATGGATAGGGAGAGTGCTGGCCTTTTCTGAACATCCCAGCGTTTAGTAACCAAAGGATTAAACTCTTACAGACAGTTATGAGGTGTTGGCAGGGAGCCAGGAGAGCCAATAGGAGGAAGGTGTTGAGACTTGAAATGAAAGGAATACCTGTCTGCTCATCTTTTGTGTCTGAGTTTAACCCTGGAGCAAGGAGAACAAGATGAACCAAGCAGAACTACCAGGCCTACAAAAAATACTCGGCATGGAAATGGACTAGACCTCAAAACACAGATCTGTGAGTAGATAGGAAAATGTCCATTTAGATGCAGTTAGGTTATTTTCTTTGTTTTGTTGTTTGGCTAAACTTCTCTGTGCTAAATCCATGTCCAGTCCCCCCTCCTCCCTCCCCACCCCATACACTGTACTTTAAGCTGTATCCCAGGGATGGAATTTTCTCTGTGTTTTTTAATTGTTTTCTCAGTTGCTTTAAAACACCTAGCAACCAAGTATGCTTTATCAGATATCTTTTTGTTTTGTTAATAAAATCACCCTTTTTCAGGCGATGATTTGATTCCTGTGTCCTGGATGGTAATAGGAGGTCTGTGTATGCCTGCCTAGGATTGAGAGGTCAGCTATCTGTTTTCCAAGCTCTCTTGTGGTAAAAGAGCTTCAGGGTACCCCTCTGGAAGAAGTCCACGCGCTTCTTCCTGGGTTCAAAGAGAAAGGGGTTTTTCACTTGGTGGTGGCAGCTACCTATGAAGGCCAGGGAATCTGTGACCTTGGGGAGCTTTTAAGCAAAAACCTATAGAGGCAAGGTATTTTTTAAGGTCTCTTGAGGGCCCCCACCTTCTGCACTCGGCGTGCCAGAGTGGGGAACCACCTTGACAACATCCCAGAATGATGTTTGCTTTTTTTTTGCAACAGTGTCACGCTGGTCACTTATATTTAGCCTGTGGTCCACTATGACCCCCTTAGATCCTTTTCTGCAGCTCTCCTTCCTAGGGAATTGTCATGAACCGGAGGAGTGTTGACCAGCACCCAGTGACTAAGGGGTTAACTCAGGTACCTAGCAAAGGTGTCGACCAGGGGGCTGGGAGAGCCAGTCGAGATAGAGGCTTGAAATTTGAATTGGATATAGATTCCCTGCCTGCTTTCTTTGTGTGGGAGAGTTAACACCAGGAGTTGAGAGAGACAGAATTATTTAAACCTAGGCAGGACTACCATGCTCCCCTCCCCACATGGAATTCAGGGCATGGGAGTGGACGGAACAAAGAGAAAATTACAAGTGAGTACCAGGGAAATGTGAGCCCAGTCGTGTCCAGGGTAATTTTTCTTTATTTTGTGGTTTTGTTTGAACTGCTCTGTATCTATGCCTCCCCTCCCCCATTACCATCTAAGCATTGTGCCAGAGATGATCTCTGGATTTTTTAATTTGTTTTCCTAAGTTGCTCTGTACAGTTAGCAACCAAGTCTGCTTTAGCAAGTTTATCTTTTGTTTTGTAATAAAAATCACTTCTTTTAAGGTGATGAGTTGATTCTTGTGTCCTGGAAGGCCTGTCTGTGGGTGTCTACAGGCCTCTGACTGAGGGGTCAGCTACCAGAGACTGCAACTTGTTTTTCTCTCTTTCTTTTGGGGCGCAAAAGAACTTGGGGCATCTCGGGGGTGGTTTCAAGTGTTCACCATTTTGTTTAGGGATCAAAAAGCACTTGATGGTGGCAGCGAAATTCCCAAAATCTGTGTATTAGGATTGGGGTGGGGGGCTTTTGTAACCAGTGCCTGGCGAGGCAGGGTGTTGAAGCCACCTTCTGCACTCGGGGTACCAGAGTGAGGAACCGCCTTGACAGGATTCCTTTCCCATTTCATGTGTGTGCGACTGAGGTTGTTCCTTCCTAAGTGGAGTACTTTGCATTTGTTCTTACTGAGTCCTCATCCCATCCTCCAGAGCTCTTGCAGCCTCTCCCAGCTTGTTGGCATCTGCAGATTTTATAAGTGTACTCTCTATGCCAGCGGTCACCAACCAGTACATCGGCATCTGCTGGTAGATCTTGGAGCCTCTGACAGTTGATCCTGACTGGTTTGGCCATTTGGATATCAAGTGCCAGCACTTCAGCTGCTCCTCCCTCCCGTTGCTGAGCATCTCTGGCCCTTTGCCTTGGAGCTATTCCCACAGGAGCCTCCTGCTTGCTGGGCAGGGCAGGGAAGGGAGAAGAGGGCACTAATGTCATGGTGCCCCCTCGTTCCACCCTATATCCTCTCTCCACAAAGCAGAGATGGGACACAACAGGACTAGGGTTAGAGCAAGTTTGCTGGCTGCTTTTGGGAGTGGTGCAGGGCCAGGACAGGGGTGAACCTGCCTTAGCTCCACTGCACCATTATCCAGAAGCACCTGAGGGAAGCAGAGCCAAACTGGAGTCCACATCCTAAACCACTGCCCAAATCATGAACCACCTCCTGTACCTCAAGCCCCTGCCCTAGCCCTGGGTCCCCATGCATCCAGACACCCTCAGAGCGCCTGCACCTAGAACCCCCTCCTGAAACCCAAATACCTGCCCCAAGCTCAGCTCAGAGCACCTCATGCACTAAATCCTTAACCCAAGACCAGAACCTACATCCCAACCTTCTGCCCAAGCCTGGTGAAAGCGAGAGAAAGTGGGGGAAGGAGGGAGGAC